TCGTAGATTAATATAATTTTTTTTCCTTATTTTTTAAACTTAAAATCTTTTCTAAATATTTTATGAAATATTTCAATGTATTTCTATTTTTTTCTTAAAGTTTAGATAAAATCTTAAAAATGTAATGTAAATGTCATTGTTTGTGTATAAAAAGTTAAATATACACAGAGCAGGAATATGTTGGATGTTAATGTCTTCTACTAGAAGTTATTCAACTATATACATTTATTTATCTAAAAATATTTATTAAAGTTTAATTTTTAAATAAGTAATAAGAATAATTAGACTCAAGTTTTCTTAAAAAATAAGCAAATTATAGGCATATTGTTGAACATTGTTACATTATATATGTATTTTAAATTGGATTTTTTCTATATTGGGATATAGTACTTATTTAATGCGTGAAAACCATGTAATGGAGTTTTGCATTGCAAAATAAATTCTATATAAGTTTTTGTTAATTTTATATCTTATCAACACAGGTCAGAAATTGGCCTTTTAGGTTTGATTTTGGAACACCAAATTTTTTAATGGAATCTACTTAAGAAACCTTTAGGTTACACAAAACTGTAAAAATTAAAATTCAGCAGGTGACACATTTATAAAAAAAACATTTAAAGGGGGTGGACCTATGAAATTATCATGTTCAAATTAAGAAACTTCCAGAAACGCTGCAAACTTTTAATTTTTACATACTAATACTAATATCAAATAATAATGTTCTGCCTAAAAAAAAAAATTATTTCGGGAACATAGAAAATACAACCCTTTTGGGGCACCCACCTCAAATAGGGCAAATATAAGTACTTGAAAAATATTTTTGTACAATCTTATAGTAAATGAAATTTTATTTTGAGAATTCAAACTTAAAAATATATATATACTACAGTTCAAAGATTATGACCAAAAAATACAAAAGAGTATAGTGTATGGTATAAAATTAGCTAATAAATTAATTACAATTTATTAGTTGTTTATAGTTATTTAAAGGTAATGAGGATTAATTAAAATTAAACAAAGTTTGCAATTGATAATTAAATTTATTTAAAGTTTTTTTAATAAATTTGCACTTGATACTTTATTAACTATTAAAGTTACAGATAGAGTTCATAAGGTCTTATTTAATAATGAAGAAAAGAAGGAGATTTAAGTTTAAAAGATCTCATAAGTTGAATAGACTTTTGGTCTGCTTGTTGCTTAACTAAAAACAATGTGTATTCCAGTTACAGTAGTATTATTCCAGTTAAGTTTGAAAAACCTCGTTGTAAAGCATTGTCATGATGACAATGCTTTATATAGGTAAGGAAGTATCCAGCTAGACTATGCCTTATGTGCAAAAGAAATCTGTACCTGGTCAAAGCTAGAAAACCTCAGTTAAACAAAAATAGAACAAAGAAACTTTAAGTGATTTCTACTGCAGTAGGAGTTGCAAAAAAATGCAAAATTTGCAAATGGGCAACTACTTAAATCTTAGGTTCTATATTATTCTCACTTTTTTTAAATTAGTTTAAATTAAGTTCATCAAATAATTCTTTAAATAAAAATAGACAAATAAAACAGAAAGAAAATAGTTTCAGAAAAAGTTAGTGATTGTAAGAGTTCAAATGCTGCTTGCTTTAAAGTTTGTCAAAAATGTTTTGACAAACATTAATGTTTTTGGTAAAGGTATGCGTCATAAATGCTACCCAAGAAAGGAGTCAGAATCTTTCAACTTATCTCTCAAATAAAAATATTAAAGTAAAATATTTATCAAGCGTTATTTTTTTTTTTAAATGTTAGTTTTATTATGTTAGTTTTTTTTATGTTTGTATTATTACATGTTTTCAGATAGTAATCATTCAATTTTGACTTATTAACCATTATGGTATTATTAACCATTTTAATTATTAGTTTTAAAGTTAAATTTTTTACACAAAAAAATGTACCAAAAATAATTTACCCAATCGAAAAACCATTTAAAATTTTCAAACAATTCAAAGTACTAGCACACTTCTTATTGATTTTTTTTTTAATTTATGTATATAACAAGCATTAGTTCTAATAATTTGTCTAGTATTTTGTTCCTGTAATTTTTTTTTTAGTTTTTAGTAATGTAGTTTTTAGTAATTTACTTTATTTCTGCAGTTTATTTTAGTAAATTGTACTATTTTCAGTAAATAATTACAATAATATTTTATGGCAACTGAAGAAATTGAAGAATATGAATTTAAAGAAAGTATAAAAAATGCAAGAAAGGCACTTGCTCTTTGCTTATGCAATAAGTTTACGGAAGCACAAAAGTTTCTTCAAACATTGTGAGTTTAATTTTTACAATAAGTTGCTTTGCATTTCAATGAAAAATTTGACATTACATTTTTTTAAAGTTATACAGATAAGTAGTAGTCACACAAAAAAAAATGTATCAATGTAAAAAATGTTACTTTTGATATTATCAAAAGTAAGTTTTTAAAAAAAAAAATTGTTTACATAAATTTATTGATAAACGAGTAGAACATGTAAGAAGTGCGGCTGCATCAACTGACAAATAGGTAGAGCATGAGAAGAGTGATGCTATATCCACTGACAAATGGAGAGAGCATGTGAGGAGCATTGTTACATTGACTGACAAATAAGTTAAACATGCGAGGAGTGCTGCATGCTGTTATATCCACTGACAAATAGGTAGAATGTGCGAGGAGTGTTACATAAACTTATGGTTCTGATATTGGTATAGCAGGCAATGCGGGGGATAAGCATTTTTGCAAGCATTTGGTATTTGATTTTTTAAAAATTGATTTGGTTTCAATAGTTTTTTAAGTTTTACACTTTAATGTTATGTATCGTATCATAAATACACCAGAAAAATTATTGCCAGCAATCGTTGTATATCTGATATTTTTAGATGCCACCTACATTGGTTCCCAAATATGTTCAATGCTGTCAAGAAAGTTAAGAATAATCTTGAAATATGTAAATATATATATATATATATATATATATATATATATATATATATATATATATATATATATATATATATATATATATATATATATATATATATATATATATATATATATATATATATATATATATATATATATATATACTATATATATATATATATATATATATATATATATATATATATATATATATATATATATATATATATATATATATATATATATATATATATATATATATATATATATATATATATATATATATATATATATATATATATATATATATATATATATATATATATATATATATATATATATATACAGTAGAAAGTAAAAAACTATGTGATTTTCACAACATTAAGTTTCATGCTGTTGCAATCATCAGGTGAAATGCAAATATAGTTTGTTCAATTAAAAAATTATATACAATTGAAACTATAAGAAAAAACCTATACGTAAAAAACTTTTTTCACTGTTACATCTGCATGTATCTAATCTTCAGGTTTGTGGTTGCTCAATAGAAATTTATTTTCGTGACGACACTTGGAAATCAACTCTGTTTTTTTATTGAGTAGCTCTTCAGCATTTTTATAAAGCAAAATAATCAGTTTTTCATATAAACATAGTTAACATTTTTTTTGTTGTATTGTTGTAGGCGGGGGCTTTTTTTAGGATAGACCAAGTTAATTCTGGTGTTTCTTTCAGTTTTTCTCTAGTTTCCCATATATGTTTTGAGAGAGTGGTTGCATTTGAAAGTTTCTTATTTCTTATAATTTCTTGTTATTAAATAACAATCTATGCAGAGGATGCAGAACAGCTTTTCATAACTCCTTATAATATTTATTTTGTGAGTTTTTTATTTTTTGATTTGGGCATTTTACTTTTAATTTTTTATTAGTTTTTAAAAGAGAAAAAATTTTAAGCAGTCCTTCTGTTAAAATAGCGTCAATTCTTTGAAAGCATTTACCAAGGGAATTAGTGCAGTAACAAAGCATCAGGTAAAAATTAAAATTATTTGCTTAATTTAAATTTGTGATGCCAGGATATACTTTAAACTATTTTTTTGATGATAACATTTGATTTGTTATCCAAGATCTCTTTATGATTACACATGAAGAGAATATCTTTTAATGTGCATTTTATATTCAAACAGATTTTGAATTCTTAAAATTTAATCTAAAATTTAAAATTTTAATTAAGGTTGATCATCATCTTGAAAGTCAAAATCATAAATTAGCGGTACTAATTGAAAATGGAAACCCTTAAGAAACTGGAAAAGACTGTATTATTATTCATGATACCAGAAACTGTTTAACTAATACACCAAAAACCTGTGAAGCGCTATCTAAGATAATAAGAACATCCTATGAAATGACACTAAAGCCTAACATACCCCATAACTATTTTAAAATACTCATCAAGTGCCAAAGATATAGTGGTGTATTTCTTTTAGAAGTAAAAAGCAGCAATAAAGTAGGTTATTGATTTTCAGGGTTTAAGTTGGTATTTACTAATAAAATTGACAAAATAAAATTAATTTTCTTTTTAATTTAGGTTCTAAATTATTTCCTTATTTATTTTTAGGACCTGAATTTATCTTTAATTTCCTTAACTTTTTTTTTAAAAAAAAAGTTGAGGAAATTGTTAACAAGAAAAAATTTTCTCCATTTTTTCCAATGGTTCTCAAGCTAGGAAAACAAATGATTAAAAAGAGTTAGTTCTTGTAGGTGTCAAATGAGATGGAACCCCTGGCTATTTTATTGTAACTTTACTGGAGATGGACAATTCAGTTGGTATAGGCGCTAATGCTATTTAAAAGGCTATTGACAACATTTTTAGTAAAGCAGGGAATATTCCTTTAAATGCAGAAGCATTTAAAAACAATCTTGTCAGCACTACTGCCACTAGTGCTAGTATCAATTTTGACATTTACAAGGTGTATTATCTCAAATGAAAAATGATCAAATGTGTTTAGAATTGGCTATTAAAGGTGCAGTAAAAGATATTGTCTACTTTAAAGAAAGTGAATTCTTTTGTATTTCCTTATTCAATTTTTTATGCAATTCTGCCAAATTAAAAAGCAAATTTAAAAAGTTGCTGTGGCATTAAATATTATGTACCACATTTTGCCCAAGGTATCTGGAACACGTTTTGTAAGTTACAGGAGATGCCTATTAGCAAAGTTGTTACATAACTGGTTGGCACTAAATGTGAGTTTTGATAACGCTCTCACTGATCGCAGTACTAAAGCAGAAATTTGTGCTAAACTTTCTGGCATAACTGTGCGACTATAAATTACTTTGTTAAGTTTGTTGGATATGCTAGAGAAAATGATTCCATTATCGATGATTTTCAAAAAAAAAAGGTAATGGTGCATGAGTTTAAACCAGCAGTGAATCTTACTAAAGCAAGCTTAGTTAAATAAAGAAATAAAGAAATTAATGATACTCATGATTTATATTTACTTACGTTTAGAATTAAGAACAAATATAATTCAATCACTGTTTCTTCATGTTTCAAAGATAGTAATTAGTTCACAAAATTGAATCAAGAGTTTTTTGAAATTCAGCTTGACAATAATAACAGATGGGAATAACCCAAGTTTTACCCTTTATGAACATCAAAATCCATTTAAATAAAAAAGTAATTATTTGCTTTGAATCAGCTGATGCTAACTTTGCAATTAAATATAGTAATGACGAAAGCAGCAGCAATGATGATTTCAATTATACCTCAGAATTAAACATTATATATATATATATATGTATATATATATATATATATATATATATATATATATATATATATATATATATATATATATATATATATATATATATTATATATATATCAGGCTTGGTCGGGAAGTGGGTGCGATCACACTCGATAATTGACCACAGAAATAATATTTAGTTGCGAAAAGCTGGCCAGATTTTTAAGTCATTTTGAGAACATTTCAAAAACAAACTAAAAGGCGCAATAAGATTAACTGGACCGATGAGAGACAGTTAAAAAAGACGCAAAAAAACTTTAAGCTTAAAACTTTAATAAATATAATTAGAGCAAATATTTTTGAAATGTCGCTCTTTTATAATTTTTTTTATAAAATTATAAAAGTGACATTTTTTGTATAAAGCAACAAAATAATATTAATGATTGTTTAATTAGGAAACAAATGTTCTTCGATTTATCAAAGAGTATATATAATTTTTATTTATATACTTATGTCTTATTTCCAGTGCTAGATTGAGGAGGTAGGGGGGGGAGTAGAAGGGCTATAGCCTCGAGACTCACAATGTTGGGGGCCGCGAAATAGTCAAGAGGACCATTCGGTATTTTTTTAGTCATTTTTACGCTGTGGCACATAAAAAAGGCGGCCAAAATAATGCAGTCCCCGGCCCTGAAAAGTCCAACAAGATTCAACCAATAAAACTAAAGCTAGATGATTTATTTATAAATAAAAAAGTTTTTTGCTGTTTTTCTTAGTTAGATGAGCAAATAAAATAATTAAATCATTGAGTTACTGCAGAAATTCAATTAGCTAAATAGAAATTAACTAAAAACGTTAAATTAGTATGTAAGGAGGAAGCGGAACTGCTTCACAATAATGCTGAAGATGTTTGATAAGAGGGCTTTATAATTTTAATTAGTATTTAAAACAGAAAAAAGTAACTTTAAGTTTAAGTATAATGAGTTTGTAAGAATGGCTGAAGCAAAAATAAGTAAAGTTAGTAAACCACTTTCTAAGAACTTAAAAACTTTTCTTTCTTGGGGGAAAGAATCAGTTATCGGGTACACTGAGAAAAATTGATTAGTGGTTGAAATTATTTCTATTAACTTTGATGATTATTAATAATTTCATTAAAAACGCAGTTATTATTGAAAGCATTTTTGTTTACAAAATCAATCACAAAAATTGCTTTTAAAGATTACATATGAATAAAATGCACATACAAAAAATTAAATGCACAAAAAACACATTCATAAAAAAACATTACATAAAAAATACATTACATACATAAAAAATACATCCATTATATAAAAATAAGAATATACTAATAAAACCTATCGCATTAGTTGTTCGTAGATTTGGAGGGTTTTTTGTGTTTGCAAATATTCTTTTTTTATTTTCCGCACAAAGATGTTTGAGAACATTTGAGTTTATGTATGTTTCCATGTATGTCAGTAAAACAAAATATTTTAAAATTAACGATAAAAAAATGAAATTAATTAAGGAAACCAACATAAATTTAAATGTTCTCAAAACGACTAAAAAATCTGGCCAGTTTTTCGCAATTAAATAATATTTCTGTGGTCAGTTATCGAGTGCGATCGCACTTGCTTCCCAACCAAGCCTGATATATATATATATATATATATATATATATATATATATATATATATATATATATATATATTCATATAGTAGCATGTTTAAGAACAGATTTTACATTAAAATGGATACTTACGAGGACATTAGCATTAACGAGGACATTTAAGTGTACCCGATAATTTTTTGTCCTCGTAAGTAGTGTTTTTTTTGTAAAAAAATGTCTCTGTAAATAGTTTTTATGCAAAGCGAAAAGTACATACATCGACTATCTTATAGCCTGACTCGCAAGGGAGTGCTGCTACATCGACTGAGGGTTTGGTTTGGCCAGGCAGCAAGGCCAGGCTTAGGGTTAGGGTTAGTGTTAGGGTTAATATATATAGTTATATTAATGTAAATAATCGTTTTTGTAAATATATATATAAAAATATAAAATATAATAGATAATAGTTAAATAAAAATAATAAAAAATATTTATAAAAAATAAATTTTTTTGCTAAAATAATAAATTTAAAAATGAATAAATAAAAATTGACATAAAATAAAAATATAAAAAAAATATCATATATGAAAAATAGAGTAAAAATAGAGAAATAAAATTTGTGATTAACGAGGAAAAAAAAAAGTACCCGTAAATCAAGCACTAATAGTGTATATATATATATATATATATATATATATATATATATATATATATATATATATATTTATATATATATATATATATATATATATATATATATATATATATATATATATATATATATATATATATATATATATATATATATATATATATCAGGGTTCGCAAAAAAACCCACCTTAAAAAAGCCCAATAAAGCCAAAATAAACATAAGCCAAAATATATTTGTTTGTTTTTTTAAAATGTCCTACTCTACAACTGATAACTCTGATTTTAACACTTAAATTGCTCTATTATCAGCAAGTGCAACTTTTATGCTGTAATTACTCTTGTAAACACTGTATTTATATACAAATTAGTATTTAGAATATATCCAAAACCAATCAATCTGTTTTTGTAGAAAGTTGGTTATCTATTATTTTTTTTAAACAGAACTTAAATAATGATAAAGCAAGTTATTATAAAAATTATTGAATTGTGTATTAAAACATTAAATTTGTTAAATACTAATAAAGGAAATAAAAATTATTTTATTAACTAAATTTCAAAGTACAAGACATTACTAGTTGTTTAGCATCTTTATTTTCCTCTTAAATGTCTATATTTCCGGACAAGCATTCTATAAATGTCATTTTGTATTGGTATATGATCTTTTATTTTTTAAAGCTTATGTTGTAAAATGTGAATTTCAGTACAAAGCCACAAGCAAAATACTATATATATAAACATTGTTAAACTTTATTCACAGTCTAGAAACGGAAAGTTGTCAGGCAAAAAAAAAAAAAAAAAATAATGCTACAGTTTACTAGGCTTGTACTTATTAAGTACTTACAACTTTAAAACATAAAAAAATTATATTATGTGCAAGGAAGTTTCATTCAATGAGAGAACATGTTGAAAACTTGTATACAGTTTACAAGGACAAGATTTGTTGGTAAAAATGATACTCATGCTCATCTGTCTATTTTACAGGTTTTGAATATTTTGCATCAGCTACAAGTTTACAACATGTACTGTCAACAGGGATCATTATGAACAGCGGGTTGAAAATGAACATCAGTACCAAGTTTGCTAAAAGGTGAAGAAACACACACAATAGAACTATATATTGTGTTACTTTGATTCAGTTGCAAAACTGAGCTGGTAAAACATCTTTAAGTAAAAAAAAAAAAGAATCTGGTGGTGAAGACATTGTAATGGTTATTAACAAATTCATTTTAGATATTTCAAGATTAATCAAAGCTTAGGCACAAACCCATTTGCAAAACAAATCTTTCCATAATCTAAAAAATAAAACATTATGAAGTGTCAATATCATCCCAAAATGGCTAATCATTACTCTCTAATCTTAAACATTTCGATTGAATAAATAAATTTTTGAATTGTTAAATTATTTTATGTAATTTTGTATAAAAAAATATTTTAAATATTGGTTACATTATTCAAGTTCTAAATATGTTAGATTAGCTGAATTCCTTATTTCTGATCATTCTTATGAAGATTGTCGATTGATGATGGAAGCCCAAAAACTTGGCTTACCGATGGAAGCTAATCTTACTATTTTAAAAATACTAACATGATCATATAAAATAAGAAAATAAAGATAATTACTGCATAATGTTGATCAGGCCGATAACTTTTTAAGGAAGCTGGACAGTATAATGTTCTGTTAAAAAAAATGTAGTGATGTAAAATGTAACAGTTTTCTTCTGATGCAAAAATGTTTAAAAGTGTTTATAGTCATCCTGATTGACAATAATTTACAAGGTTGCAGCATCATGTTGCAAACTCGTTGATTACATGTTGTAAACTTAGTTTTTGAAATGATATGTTGAGCACGTTAGTATAAAAAACTAGTTTGCAACATTTATATTGTCTTACTAACTTTGAATAACTCAATTGTCATAATAATTTTTATAGTGATTTTTTTTTTGGTCAAAAATAATCCGAACATGTTTTTAATTTAGTGCAATTAATTAACATCACTTTTAGTTTTATGGAGTCCCCTTTTGCACTATAGATATAATGTGCTAGTAGCACTAGTCTAGTAAAACATTTGGCTAGAAATCAGAGAGTTGGGGTTCAAATTACATATATCATTAAATTATATATATATATATATATATATATATATATATATATATATATATATATATATATATATATATATATATATATATATATATATATATATATATATATATATATATATACATATATATATATATATATATATATATATATATATATATATATATATATATATATATATATATATATATATATATATATATATATATATATATATATATATATATATATATATTAGGGTGCATCAAACGCCCCATACTTTCAAAAATTGATCTGTCTCTATTCTTAAAACTATTCTATTGTTACTTTACTTAAAAGCATTTTGCTTATATAAAAATATTTGTAAAGAAAAAAGTTTGGATGTTGTTTACTTCTAACATAATTCTATTGTATAGATACAATAGAAAATGTTTTTTTATTCAGCGTGTTTTTGAAATTTCAATGGCAATGGATTAATCGTCATAACAAAATTTTATTTGTGTGGTCATATAATGGTGGTCATATAATGGTATAATGGTGTTTTCCTGACTAAGCCTGACCAAGCCTGACCAAGCCTGATATGTGTGTGTATATTATGTAGTAGCATTTGAAGTAATTGAAAACTCGGGCTAAGATATCTTTTTTAAAAAATTAGTTAAAGAATATAAGATATAAAACACAATATAATTCTTGTAAATATAAATTCAGATGTTAAAGAAGCTATACTTTGATTTTATTTTACTTAAATTCTTGTCAAACATATGATTTATGATGCATATGGAAAAAAAAAATTTCAAAAACGTTTTGTTTCAAATTAAATTAAAAACATTTCAACATTTTTCATTAAACCATTTATTTTTAGTTTTTAAACGATTTCTTATCCTATTTTAGTAGTCTAGTAATTAATTTTTTTAGTTTTTTCCCCCTGAAGTTGAGAAAAACTGCAAAAACCTGATAGTTGTTATTCAATAAAAATATTTATGCCTTGATCTTGAAATTTGTGTATAAAATCTCATTAAAAAAACTATATCGTTATTGTTATTAATTAAATTATTAATTATTATTACTATTATTTAAACTTTAATAGTTTAATTTATTTGATAAATCATCATATATAATTACAAAAAATAAAGTGTATAGTACAATGTAATATTAAATATGAAACTTTTGTGTTTTATCATCATATTTTTCTGACTCTTACAGTTAACAGTTTTTTATACTTTTATTTGTTTGCTCTTTAACTCTAAAGTTTTAGTAACTCCCAATTTAAATTTTGATTGCAACCTTGTCTGAAGTTAATTTGTTAGAATAAATTTCCTTGATAGGCATGCCTAAAAAAAAAAATAAGTTTTAACATTGAGCATGTACTATTGGTTATTAATAATAAATTTAACTAAATTTGTTTTAATATTTTAATGAAAACCAAACTGTTTTTTTTAATAATTTTTTTTTTCATATACTAGAGATGGATCCTGTATGTATCATTCACTATCCATATCAACAATTGCCTATCTTCAAGCAGTCTTGACATATGAACAGGTTGGCATAAATTTTTATTAATTTAGTTTATCATTAAGCAGAAAATATATAGATCAACTACAAGGCGACCCAAAAATCTAAAATATTGAAATTTATCCACAAGGCTGCCTCTTATTAGAATGTAAACCAGCAAAAATATATAATACTAAAATGACAATATTTAAAGGTCCCCATTGGAAATCATTTTTGCATGCTACCTTCAAAATTTTAAGGAAATAAAGGTAGTTGTTTCTTTTAACTTTTTTAAGTTTTCTTCTTTCATTTTACGAATTAATAATATTCAATACTTATTCTTCAATAGGAATAACATCTTTAACACTACTATTAAACTGTTATTTAACAATTATCACTTTAGAAAACTTAAAGTCACCAGTTCTGATAGTCTGTCCTTTCCTAATCCTTGGGATGATTCAACAAGGCTCAGTTCTGCTTTTACTTCATTGCTTTGCTCAATCAGGAAACTATTAAAAGGTGTTGAACAGATGTCCAGTATAAAAGCACAAAATTCAAGAAAAGATCTATTATTAAAAATTGTTTATGTATATTTCATTTTTAACATAGTAGACCAAAAGGGAGAAGGCTGGTAGAACTAAGCACACTGAACCAAATGGTTAAGCAACAGGTATCCAAAATTACAAAGTGCTGAAAGATTGGGGATAAAAAATGTTAAGGAATAGAAAGTTAATATGTAGCAGGTCAGGATAATCGATAGTCCCAGGTGAGGTCAGGATAATCGAGATCAATCTTGCTACTGGTATCACGTAACCCAGTACCACCTGCCACAAGCTCTGCTGCCTTGCAGAGTGTGCTCTTCTTATGCAAAGGCTAGGAGAAATAAACTCCGACTAAAAATTCCCCTGCCTTGGGGCTCTTGGTTGAGTAAAGGCTAGAGATGGTGTCTCGATAAAAACACTCATCTTGGGCAGATATTAACTGTATCCAGCTAAACATCCCCTGCCTTGGGGCTCTTAATTGAGTAAAGGCTAGAGATGGTGTCTCGATAAAAACACTCATCTTAGGCAGATATTAACTGTATCCAGCTAAACATCCCCTGCCTTGGGGCTCTTGGTTGAGTAAAGGCTAGAGATGGTGTCTCGATAAAAACACTCATCTTGGGCAGATATTAACTGTATCCAGCTAAACATCCCCTGCCTTGGGGCTCTTAATTGAGTAAAGGCTAGAGATGGTGTCTCGATAAAAACACTCATCTTGGGCAGATATTAACTGTATCCAGCTAAACATCCCCTGCCTTGGGGCTCTTGGTTGAGTAAAGGCTAGAGATGGTGTCTCGATAAAAACACTCATCTTGGGCAGATGTTAACTGCATCCAGCTAAACATCCCCTGCCTTGGGGCTCTTGGTTGAGTAAAGGCTAGAGATGGTGTCTCGATAAAAACACTCATCTTGGGCAGATGTTAACTGCATCCAGCTAAACATCCCCTGCCTTGGGGCTCTTGGTTGAGTAAAGGCTAGAGATGGTGTCTCGATAAAAATACTCATCTTAGGCAGATGTTAACTGCATCCAGCTACTGTCTTGTAGAAGGCCTCCTAGGCAAAGACTTTAGGGGTAAGCAGAAAAATTCCGCTAACCAGCCTCGAACCCCTTCTTCATCTATTAGGCTGGCGTAGATGTAACCTGTGTTACATTGTTTCCTGCCTAGGATGATGAATGCTGGATCTCCTTGACTCTACTCATAGAATTTTGCTTATGCCTCCTTGATAATGGCTATGCAACTCTTCCTGTTATCTCCATATGAGGGTACAGCTCTAAAACTCAGTTTAATGGTTCTGAGGCCGGCTGGTATTTCCCGAAAGGTTTCCCGAACTCTGTGGTAGCTCTCAGAGAGGCTGATTCCATCAACAGCTGCAAAATATCAGAGTATTAACAGTGCCATGTTGCGCATGGATGGTGTCCCTGGTAATGCTTTTGGTGTGCATTGTCAAGGCTACATTAGGAGCCCTATGTCACGGCTTAGGGTTAATTAACAGGACTGAGACAACTGCATAGCTCATTGATTAGAAGGCTGTGCTCTATCTATGAATGAGTCAAGTTCTCATTAAACCCAAATCATGACCAAAGTAACCAAAAATTTAAAACCTAAAAAACCATCCCCACCACCTAAATATTTTAATGTATCTTTTACAAATATTCGTGGTCTACGAAACAACTTTCCATCAGTTGAGTCTTACCTCCTGCAAAACTCACCAGACTTGCTTGCACTCAGTGAAGCAAATTTAAATTCTGCAATTCCTTCTTCAGATGTCAGTGTTGATGGGTACTATCCTTTGATTCGTAAAGACTCAAATATTCACATGCTAGGTTTAGGGGTATACATACGCATTAATTCCCCTATTTGTCGTGAAATCAAGTTCGAATCCTTTGACCATTCTTTTATGTGCTTTCGCCTAGCACCTCTTCACTCTATCACCTTTCTCTTTGTTCTTTATCGTTCTCCTTCTTCCCATGATTGCACTCTCTTAGATGTTATCTCTGATCAAATTGACCATGCCCTCTCTCTTTACCCCTCTGCCAATATTGTTGTTGTTGGTGATTTTAATGCACATCACACTGAATGGCTTGGTTCTAACACCACTGATCCTGCTGGCACTAAAGCCTTTAACTTCTGCGTTTCTCAATCTCTTACTCAGATAGTTAACTTTGTGACTCGTTTTCCTGACAACCCTAATCATTTACCTTCACTCCTTGACTTATGTCTTGTCTCTGACCCTAGCTTATGTTCAGTTTCTCCCTTTTCTCCCTTAGGTGGTTCTGACCATGCAATGATCTCTATAAATCTTTCTTCTCATACTTCTTTTTTGGGCTCACCTTATCATCGCACCACCTACTACTACCCTAAAGCTGACTGGGATTCCTTTCGTGATTTTCTTTGTGATGGTCCTTGGGCTGATGTTTTTTCTCTCTCAGCTGACAAATGCGCCTCCTACATAACCTCCTGGATTCAGGCTGGAATGGAAGCTTTTATTCCTTCTCGTCGGTTTCAAGTCAAGCCTCATTCTACTCCATGGTTTTCTCCTTCTTGTGCAACTGCTATATCCAATCGTAATCATTTTTTTCATCTTTTTCAAAAGAACAACTCTCTTGAGAACAAACGGCTATTTATTATTGCAAGAAATCGATGTAAAAAGGTGCTTTCTGATGCTAAACTCCATTATTCTCAGTTCACTAAATCTTGCATCTTATCACAGAAGTTAGGCTCTAAAGACTTTTGGAAAATCTTCAACAGCATTATTAACAAGGGTAGATCTAACATTCCATCTCTCATTCATGGGACTGATCTTATTACCTCTCCCTAGGATAAGGCAGAACTATTTGCAAAGAACTTTTCTTCTAATTCCACTCTTGAATCCAGTCAAACAGGTTGACCCATTATTAGACATTCAAATCACTTCGGCTTCTGTTGCTAAAGTCATATCTCAATTAAACTCGTCTACAGCTTGTGGTCCAGACAACATTCCTGTCACAGTCTTGCAGAATTGTTCTCCAGAACTTTCTTCAATTCTCTCCAAACTATTTAACAAGTGTTTGACTGAGTCTTGTTTTCCTGCTTGTTGGAAAATGGCATCTGTGGTTCCAATATTCAAAAACTCTGGAGAAAATTCTGACCCCTCCAATTATCGTCCGATCAGTCTTCTTTCTGTTATTAGCAAGGTCTTTGAGTCTTTGATCAACAAATTCCTCACATCTCATCTTGAGTCAAATAAACTACTGTCAGACAATCAATACATTTTTCGATCCTCTTGCTCTACGGCCGACTTGCTAACTGCTGTAACTGAAAGATTTTATCGTGGATTAGATGGAGGCGGTGAGGCTAGGGCGGTTGCTCTCGACATATCTAAAGCTTTCGACAAAGTTTGGCATGCTGGTCTTCTCCATAAGCTTGCTTCATATGGTGTTTCTGGGTTTTTGAGATTATCAAATCATTTCTTTCTAACCGGTTTATTAAAGTCATCCTTGAAGGCCAACACTCTTCTTTATTTCCATTAACTTCTGGGGTTCCCCAAGGTTCCATCCTGGGCGCTGTTTTGTTTCTTATCTACATAAACGATCTTCCTGACAACCTTTCATCTAAAGTAGCTCTTTTTGCTGATGACTCAACTTTATACTCCTGTCTTGACAAAAAGTCCTCTCTTTTCAATCGCCTAGAACAAGCAGCTGATCTTGAATCCGATCTCACTTCAGTAATAGATTGGGGTTCACAGTGGCTTGTGAATTTCAACTCTAAAAAAACCCAGTTGCTTACTGCAAACAACTACCGTAATATGGTCAACATTCCTATATTAATGAATGGCAATCCTATTACTGAGTCGTCCTCTTTACGTTTTCTTGGATTATCGCTTACTACTGACTTTTCATGGAAACCATATATACAATCGATTGCTAAATTAGCTTCTGCTAAGGTTGCTTCTCTTTATCGTGCTCGCCATTTCCTTTTTTCTGATTCCATTCTCTACCTCTACAAATCTCTTATTCGTCCCTGTATGGAATACTGTTGTCATATTTGGGCTGATTCTTCTAACGATTCACTTTCTCTTCTTGACAAGGTCCTAAAACGCACTGTAAATGTTGTTGGACCTGGACTATCTGCTAAGTTTGAACCTCTTTCCCATCGTTGTAAAGTTGCATCTTTTTCTCTTTTCTACAAATACTATCATGGTCACTGCTCAAAGGAGTTATCATCTCTAGTTCCATCAACTAAAATTCATTCTCGTTTTACTCGTCATTCAGCTAAGTCTCATTTGTTTACTGTACCTCTCCCTGCATGTTCTAAAAACTTTTATTCATCTAGTTTTTTTCCCCGCACTTCAATCCTTTGGAACTCTCTCCCATCTTCATGTTTTCCTGACTCATACAACCTTCAACTTTTCAAGTCTTCTGTCAACCGTTTCCTTGCTCTATAACTCTGTTCTTTTTTTTCCTAGTAACTCCCAACTTGATAGTGGTTGCTTGCAGCCTTGTTGGGAGTGAATGCAAATAAAAAAAAAAAAAAAAAAAAAGCAATTAAGGCTATGTGAAAAATGTGTAGACAACATGGCATAATTGATTGAGTTGTGTATATGTTGAGTTGTGTATATGTTGTGTATACATGGCATAATTGATTGAGTTGTGTATATGCTTTACTTTGAAAATACACTCAGAGGTTTAAATGATATAAAAAATCTGAATGTGAAAAGATGTGTATTCAAAAACATACAACAGAAAGATTTTTTAAATACAAAAAATATAAAATAAATGTTTACAAAGCAAATATATGAGTATTTAAAAGAAAAACAAAAAAGTCAGATAACATTGGGATTTGAATCATGGACATTCCGTGTATGAAGATAGGTATATACATATACATTAACAAACCAACATATAATTATATATAAAATTATATGCATGCATTACATAGACGTTTTCATATAGAAACGATATATACTTGTTACATTAAAATCATACAAATATATTTAACAAACAGTTAGCAGTTTATATTTTTGTTTTACTCTTTTAAAAAAAAACAAATAATATTGGAGAGTCATTCTTTTAGTGTCTACTTAAAACTGTAAAAATTAAACATTAGAAAATGAGTTTTAAGTTTATCAAAATAACCAAAACAATTTATTTACTGAGATATTAACAAAAAACATTTGTTGTTTTGCCATGATACTTCTTGGTTAAGAGGTTAGTATTAACTCCATGAATCTGCATAGTTTTTTCCATTGTAAAAATATCTTTAAATAACGGAGTAGCTTATTCAATTAAACTCATTTTTCAGTATATTTATATACAGCAAAATAAGTTCACATACTGTGGTAGTTTGAAAAAGTTAGTTTCCTTAAAAAAATTAAAAAATAAAGAAAAATTGAATAGAATTATTAAAAAAAGTTTTTTTTTTTCTTTTAATTTTAAACACAGGTGTGCAATGCAAAGTGATTTTTTTCTTAAAATCCTTGGTGTGAAATACTGTGTCACTATAACAATAATGACTATATGTCCGCAAAGTTGTTTATAAAAAAAAACCATTTTATTAAAGATGAAAAATACAAAACTCATTTTCGAAATAAACCAATATTTGCATAAACAAAAAAAGCTAATTTGAATGCAAGTGATTTTAGTTAGATTAGACTACCTGATTGGTTTCTTAAATAACAAATCAGTTTCTTATAAAAAATCCATTATGAAAAAATAAATTAAAAATATTCTGTCGTAAATTTTTTTCTCAATCAATGTTATATCTTATTAATATTTGTGTGTTAAATATTTGCATAATATTATTGTTAATTTTATAAAAATTGCAAAAATAGTAATTATTTTATATAAATGTTATTATTTTAACATTTTTAAACATTTAAAAAAAAATTCAAGTTTTTTACAGTTTATTTATTTGAATTAATTTTTTCGGTAAGTTTTTATATTAAAAAAATTACTATTATAAAAACTTTTATAAAATTTTGCTTTTTTTGAGTACCAGATTGACATACTTTTGAAGGATTTTTTTTGGATAATAATAGGGACCTGTTAAATATTCAAGGGTCAAGAGGTTGGGAAAAATATTTTTTATTCAAAAGTTTTTTAAATCTAGTATTATTTTATTATATAGAACAAACCTAGGGGTGTAACAGAAGAAATTTTTGAAAAAGCAATTTTCACCCCACCCTACTCAATGCAATGGTACAGGAATAAAAATATAAGTTTTTTCCATTACAATATATGTGAGTTTTTTGTTGAAAAAGTATGATATATTTGGTATGTATGAAAAGATTATTTAAACCACTATTATAATCCGGTAAAAGTAATGTGACTATAGAAAATCATCAAGCGTAGTTATCTTTAGAATTGTTTTCAATACCACACCTAAATGAGTATATTTAACAATAATGGCATGTTAGATTCAGATAAACTATGGTAGTGTTAATTTTTTTACCAAAGTCCTTTTTGCATAAATAGTCATAACTTTTAGCCCCATTCAAAAAACTGTTTTCTGTATTTAGTATCATTTTTAAAAATACTTGGGACTTATTCGGCCATCTTGAAAAAATAATTTATTCCATTCAGAATGCATAAACAATTAAAAAACAGAGGCGGTAAACTTTATTAATAAATTACTTTCACTTTCAAACTCGTTTCGTTTTTATATCACTAATAAACTTTAATTGACATTTGGTTTCTTATATTTTTATAACAATAATTTAAAAGTAACATAACTTACTTTTAACTTATTTTTATAAAAACAATTATATATTTTAACACTAAGTCAATACAAATAGCTATTATGGTTTCAATTATGTATTCAGATAAATACCTTTTGTTGTTAGTACAGCACAAAATAAAATATATATTACATAATTCAAACTACTTTTAAAAGTGTTTTTTTAAAATATACTAACACAAATGTATTAAAGTGTAATTAAGTTCATAAATTATGTCAAACAAATACTTCAAGATATCTTTATAATTATATTAATATATCTCCTGCAAAACTGTTATAACAGACGCTTCAGTTGTTTATAATATTTCGCCAATATTTACAAATTCTTTGTTTGCATAAATTAAATAATTACAGCAATTAATAAAAAGTTGTTCAGTTTGCCACAAAGAATCAATTAGATTTGTTTAAAATTATTGTTTTTTTTTTGTGAGTTTGTTTGTTCTATGCCTTAGTTGAATAGAGGAGTACTTATACTTGCTTTTTTTTTCTTAGAAATATATTCAACTGGCCCACGAAAAAGTTAAAGAAACTTTGAAAATTTGCGACAAGTATGAATGCTTCAAATTATATTAATAATGATGATGATGATGATAATGATGATGATGATGTTGATAATGATAATGATGACGATGATGATGATGATGACTTTTTTAGACAAAGAAAAAAACGATCTTGGAATGAGTCCATTTATAGCTGGTTTGGAAAGCCTTACTTTGACGACTTTTCAATTAGTATGTAGTTTTAAAATTTTGAATAAGATTTAAATGTTTTTATTTCATAAAAACTATTATCTAAAATTATTTTCAAACAGTTTTTTTTGTTAAATTATTAAAAAGAAAATGTTTCTTATTAAAGTTTTAATATAAATTTATTTTAAAGTTTACAAGATTTTTATTTATTTAATAAATTCATCATAAGGCTGCAAGCAACCATGACATAAACTGGGAATTTACAGAATTTATAGAATTTGCAGAGTTGATAGAAAAGAAATTGGTTGACAGAAGATCGATCAAGAAGACAGAAAACTGTAAATTGTTTAATACAAGAAAGTTTAAAATTCAAAAGAATAGATAGCGAGAAAAAAAAACTAAATGAATGCATACTTTTAGAACTTTACTGAATGACAACTCGCACAAATTGACTAGGGTATATTGTGGTGTTATCAGCAAACAGACCCATAGAGGTAAGATTATCAGGGAGTTGATTAGTATAGATTGGATATTATTCATGACCATAAATGGGATCTTCTATCTCAGAAGTTTTTAGAAATGAAGAAGAGTATTGTTGATCAAGGATACATTAATATATTAATATATAACTATAACTATATTAATAATGTATTTTTGGACCTTGTGTATTAGAGAAAAAGCATTATGAGAAGAACAATTCCAAACATTATAACAGTATTCCATACAGGGAGGAGTAGGAGGAATAATTCAGAGGTAGAGAATGGAGTCTGTAGTAATATAATGGCAAGCATGATAAAAAGAACTAACTTAGCATATACCAACTTTGCAATGGAGAAAAATGGAGAATGTAAAAGAGTTTTAATGAGAAATCATTTTGGCAATAATATCATTATTTTAGCCATAATATCATTATTTGTGTCTAACAATAAATGACCCTGTTTTTATGGGATAATGGAAAGTTATTTTCTTGAATTTGGCAATTGAGATCAAGTTTTATCTATCACTAACAAAGAGTGACTGACTGTTCTTTGACATTTATTTTGACATGGGATATTTATCATAAATCATATCAAAAAACCTTAAACTTAATATTTTTTCCACAACTTACACAATTTATAAATTGCATGTTTAATTGCACTGTAACTTTTCTATTTGCTTAAAACTCCTCCTGTTTGTGTTACTGTTTAAAATCTGATGGCAATTCAATGTATATTACAGTATATCATATACATTATGGTAAATCATGTACATTATGACAAATCATATACATTATGGTAAATCATTTACATTATGACAAATCATATACATTATGGTAAATCATGTACATTATGGTATTATCAGGTACATTATCATATTTGAGTCAAAATTTAATTTTTTAAAAGTTATAAAGCAAAAATGTTAAAATTTTAGTAGTAATTGAAGTAATAGATAATAGATAGTAATAGATAAAGTATATATACTACTATATAAATAAAATATAGACAAAATTATCATTGATTAAGATACATTACAATTACTATTTATAAAAATAAATGACAAGGCTTTTTTTTAAACATGTTATGCATAACAAATGATTTAACGATGTCAAACGATACAGCCACTCCCTAGTTTTTATATTATTGCAACGCATTTAAATAAAGTGACAAATCACTCCTAAAGATTTTTTATAAAAACATTAATGAATGTTATATATATTTTTATAAGTATTTATTTTTTATTATAAATGTTTTTAAATAAAAAAAAAAAATTGTATCAACTTTTTAAATAAACGATTTTTTTTTTTTTGCTATTGTGCAAAGAATTGTTAAGAATCTTTTTATAAACTTTTAAATGTGCGCGTTTATTAAACAATCATTAGATATAAGTTGGTTCTTTATTTTATAGAGGTTTTGCATAATATTATAAAACATTATTAAAGATAAACGAATTAAAGTTATTTAATCCAAACGTAATTTAGATAAACTTAGCAGTTATTTATTTTAGTTAAGTTTTAATTTAATTTTGTTATTTTAGTTTAACTTAAGCTATTTTTATTTAGTTTTTTGTTATTTTTTTTTTACGAAGATTTATTTGCTTCTTTTACAATATATTTTTTTAAAAGTTTTTTTATAGTTAGATAATTTTTTTAGCGCATTTTTAAAACATTTAAAAATGCGCTAAAAATAGCGCATTTGTATGTATATATAATATATATATATATATATATATATATATATATATATATATATATATATATATATATATATATATATATATATATATATATATATATATATATATATATATATATATATATATATATATATATATATATAAATATATATATATATATGTATGTATGTATATATAATATATATATATATATATATATATATATATATATATATATATATATATAAATATATATATATACATATATATATATATATATATATATATATATATATATATACTCTTGCATGTCTCTTGCGTGGCATCAAAAAATATTTCCCATAAACTGTAGTTTTAGAGATCGCGTTAATAAACCAGACCAGAAAAACTTTTAAAAATTAAATTTTTTTTTTCAATTGATAGACTGCCTGGCCAAACCAAACCCTCAGTCGATGTAGCAGCACTCTCTTGCGAGTCAGGCTATTTGTCAGTCGTTGTAGCAGCACTCCCTTGCGAGTCAGGCTATTTGTCAGTCGATGTAGCAGCATTCCCTTGCGAGTCAGGCTATTTGTCAGTCGATGTAGCAGCACTCCATTGCGAGTCAGGCTATTTGTCAGTCGATGTAGCAGCACTCCGTTGTGAGTCAGGCTATTTGTCAGTCGATGTAGCAGCACTCCGTTGCGAGTCAGGCTATAAGATAGTCGATGTAGCAACATTTACGCATGTTTTAAAAATGTTTTTTATTAAATCAATAACAAAAATACCACTAATTAAAAAAAACTTTCTAGTCGTTATAATTGCGGTTTTTTAAAAATATGTTAAAAAACAATTAAATTTAATGTACTTCCGCATAAATTAATTACTTTGACATTTCGATGACAATCAAAAACAGCTTAAGAGACGAGGTAATTAAAATGGTAGTCGTAAGAGACTTTTTTTACATTAAAATGCTCTTAAAGCGACACTATATGAGTATATATATATATATATATATATATATATATATATATATATATATATATATATATATATATATATATATATATATATATGTATGTATATATATATATGTGTGTATATATATACATATATATATATATATAAATATATATATATATTTTTTATATTTAGAAAAATTGAAATTTTATTCTAACAAAGAACTATTTCATGCCCTTTTAAATGTTGTGTAACTGGCTGCATAAGCAACAATGACAAAGAACATAATGTAAAACATGAAAGGTTTCATAATCAACTGTCAAATCATTTGCCAGTTGATTATGAAACCTGTCAAGTTCATGGTAAAATTCGTCCTGTAAATCCACCAACTATATATATATGTGTATTACTTAGTCAAATTCCTACACCTCTACCAAAAAAAAAAGAATAACAACAAAATCACTACTATCAATGGGTAACATAAAAGCTGATGAAATTTTATCTCACTTAGATTTGTAAGAAATTAGTTGTTTTGATGACCTTTTTAAAAAAGTAAGCAAACAGGTATATTTCTTTTCCAGTAATATCTTTTACAGTGGATGATGGTTTAATAATCCAAAGTAAAGGGTATATTGATACCTCTGCCATTCCACAGTCTCTTTTAAAAATTTAAAAATGAATATGCAGTTTGATGGTTTTCATTGTGGGTCTAGATTATACCAGTAATCGAATAAAAAAAACTTCATCTTACTTAAAAATTATTGAAGCTATTTGATTTTTACACTCCATTGAACTTATATCAAAAGTTGCTAAATTAGAGGATGTTGATTTCCTTAACAAATATTTTATGCATCTTGAAGATCCTCATCAAAAAAATGTCATTATTTTAATTGATAAAGTTTATGCAAAACCACAACTTACATAACAAGGCGGTAATTTATTTGGAAAAGCAGTAAATAATCCAGAACATTTTGCGACTACTGTTTTAAGTTTTATGATTTGCTCATTATTTGGAGGTAAAAATTTTTTATACAAGGCCCTGCCAGTGTATCATTTATGTGCTGATTTTCAATATGAGCAAGTTGTTGATATAATAAATTTTGTTTCTTCATGTAATGGCAATACTGTTTCAATTTTGTGTGATAATAATAGAGTAAATCAAGTATTCTCTAAAAAATTCCATTTGATTTCTTCATGGCAGAAAACTAAAAACATTTTTTTGCTCTATGATCAAGTCCATATAATATAATATCTTAGAATATAGTTGGTTAGCTGAAAAAATACAAGAGTTAAAATATTCTGACGTGACCTTGAAAAACTGCAAAGTGGGTTGATTTGAAATAGCTGTTTGAGTTGGAAAACAATTCTATTGTTAAACTATCAAAGCTCAATCAAGTGTCTATCTGTCCAAAACCCATAGAACGATAGAATGTTGATTTAATTCTTCAGATTTTTTGTGCTGAAATACTAACTGTGCTAAAGATTTATCTGGAAATGCAGGATTCAGGTAAAACTGTTGATTTTATATCAAAAATTGTAGACTTTTTTAAAATCCTAATTGTTGAAAGTCAGTTTGAAGATGTCAGATTTAAAGACTTTAAAAGGACTATCTTTGATAATTCCAACAATCAGCAGTTAGAATTTTTTTTTGGTTTAGCAATTATTTTTGAAAAAAAGGCCCCTGAGTTGGATTGAAGTTACCTGGAAACTATGTGTCAATGGGTTATTCATTGCTATATATTTTGCTTCAATCCTTAAGCTCCATCATGTAACAGAAAGTTTATGTAATGATTGGCCTGTCTCCTACTGAAAAAAAAAAAAAAAACGAACTGGGCTGCAGCTGAACAGATTGTATAGCTTTTAAATATTTCCAAAATTGGATTTTCCTACTTTGTTATATCAGATCCTTTCTTTATTACAAGTTATTCTGGTTTAAGAAACCTTTCTTTGACCTCCCACAGAAGATAGATTACACTATGGAACAAAAAATTTTTTTGGCCTTTTACCTGAGAAAAGACCTGTCTATCTGACTAATTCTGACATGCTGATTACAGTGGTGTAATCAGAATGTTTGTATCACGTCAGGGTTTTGAAATCACTTTTACATTTTTGGTTATAATGCATGTTGTAGCTAGCTTTTATACTGCCTAGTATTGTTGTACACTTGTGGTGCTGTGTACTTTATATTTAAATGTTATGTTTTTTTTTATTTTAGATTGATCGTGTAGTATTTTTAAAACAATATGAAAAAAGTTAAAAGGGGTTGCTTCAATCATCCAGACTATTTCTGTTAAATCTGTGGGCATTTTACTTGTGTGATCAGCGGAAACAACTTACAAGAAAAGTGAAGGTTGCCTATCATCACTACTTCGACGTCAAAGATATGGCGAGGGCCAAGAGATCATCATTCAAACTGCTACTTTGCATGAAAAATATTGCTCCAAGAAAAACAAATCAGCAATTCATTATCCAAATTGTGACTCTGCTTTGAAACCTGTGCACAAAGTACATGTGCTTTCTATGTCTATAGAATAGCTGTGACAATGAAAATCATTACACAGTTAAAGACTGGCCAACTAATCATGTACCTGGCAGATACAATGTACAACATGATTCTCTTGTTGATCCTACCAAAATACTACTTCCCCCTCTTTACATAAAGCTTGGACTGTTCAAAAATTTTGTAAAGGCTCTAGGAGATTTGCGTGGTTTTGCTTATCTTCAAGAGAAGTTCAAGACCACTCTTACACCAGCGAAAATAAGTGCAGGTGTGTTCACTGGGCCTCAAATTCCTGTCATTCGTGATCTCACCTTCAAGACACAGCTGCAGCCTGCTCAGTTGGCAGCCTGGGATGCATTTGTGACTCTGGTTTCTAACTTTTTGGAAACCACAGGTCTTAGAACTATGAAGACTTGGTTGAAAGAGTACTAACAAAATACAAGGATATTGGATGCAGAATATCCTTAAAAATTTACTTTTTGCACTCCCGTCTCAGTTTCTTCCACCCAATCTAGGTGCAGTTAGCAACGAACAGGGTGATCGTTTTCACCAAGAAATAGCAACGATGGAAAATAGATATCAAGGGAAGTATGACAGCAAAATGATGTGAGATTTTTGATGGTTTTTACAGAAAGAGTGTGACACTAAAAATTTTAGTTATTGTATTGAATTTTAGAAGTATTGACCATAAAGTGTTAAAATAATAAATCAAAATGTCAATATAAGTTTAAAACCTGACATGATACACAATTTTCAATGACATATTTGGAATCAGCAGGTTAAAATGGTCTTAGTACACATAATAGATCTTAGGTAGCAAAAATGTTGTTCCCTAGTGATATCACTGAAATGTAAAAAATGAAAAATGGAAGTAATTTGACTTCTGTTGGACAAATTGGGAGTGCTGTCCATATGAAATATATTGATTTTTTGATTTCTCTAATAACTTCTAAAACCATTATACTTGATAAATTCATTCTGCGATTTTCAGGAGAAGTAATAAATTTGTATACGCTTTTTTCTTCTTGGTGCTTAGCAGTAAGCCCCAAGAAATTTCCATTCCCATTTTTGAACACTTTTTGATTGCAAACAAAAAATTATCAAAATAGTCATCCATATTTTAAATAATTTTCTTCAAAAATTCTCCTTTCATTCAAAACTAGAGTAATATTAATTTTAAGAATTATTTTATTATCATAATATTTCCATATTTATATCCAATTATAACTTCTAATTTTGATTTTTATATTATAAATAAAATATTGCAAAATATAATTTAAAATTTAAAAACAATATTCTTACTTCTAAACGCTAAATTTCATGAAGTTAGAAAAATTTTGATATAAAGAATGCATTATAAAATTACTTTCCATCGCTTTGTTTCATCTTCAATTTTGTTTCATCTCCAAAAGAACTTTTTTATATGCCATTAAATAAGAAAATAATCTTTATTTTATTATGCAAACAAAAGGCCAATAAAAATACATGCATTCAAATTGTAAAAACCTTGTCAAGTAATAATTATCCTATTTTAAATCTAAACAAAGTTTAAGGAGAACGAAATTAATACACAAAGTTTTCTTAAGCTTTAAATATATTATCAGCTAAATTTTCAAATATAAAAATCAGATAAATTTTTTATCTTTACAATAATTTTTTTTAAGGCTTATGTGATGCCCCATAGACTGTGATGCCTAGTGCAAACTACTTGAAATGCCCCTACATCTTGGCAGCCCTGGTTGGATCTGGTATTTTTTTCCAGGTATTCAGCATAAACTGGTCCCAGCACATCACTTATATATATATTTTATATATATTATATGCGTACATATTAATATATATATATATATAAATATATATATATATATATATATATATATATTTATATTTATATATATTTACTCATATGTGAGATGTGTATATATAAATATAGAACATATATATTCATATATATATATATATATATATATATATATATATATATATATATATATATATATATATATATATATATATATATATATATATATATATATATATATATATATATATATATATATATATATATATATATATATATGGATCTCGTTTACAACAATGGAATTTATATATATATATATATATATATATATATATATATATATATATATATATATATAAATGTATATATATATATATATATATATATATATATATATATATATATATATATATATATATATATATATATATATATATATATATATATATATATATAAATATATATATATATATAAATATATATATATATATATATATATATATATATATATATATATATATATATATATATATATATATATATATATATATATATATATATATATATATATATATATATATATATATATATATATATATATATATATATATATATATATATATATGTTCTATATTTACATATACCCATCCCTTGAGTGCGAAGAAAGTACCACTACTCTCCTATCACAATTTAATGAACATTTGTAGAATGCCAATTGTTTATTGTATAAAACTTTGCTAATTTAGTTGAACTTCATGCTGAATTATGTTATGCAGAATGTCTCCTTGAAGAAGCACTTCTTACTTTTTTACAGGTACTGTTTTTAAAAAAAATAGTTTTAAAATTTCTGCATGTAACTTTAACTTGCAAATAGATTTTTTAAAAGTTGTTTAACTTAACTTTATTAACTTTTGGGTAGGATGAAAATTTGATTAGTTTTGTGAAAGGTGGGCTTAAGATACGTAATGCATACCAACTATACAGGTTAGTTATTATTTGTTTAACAATCTTATAAATTTTTTATTTATTTTATTAAGAATTTTTTTTTACTTTTATTATGGTATTTTTACCTTTACTTTAGCGTTTTATTTAAATTTAATTAAAAGTTTTATATTAAAGTTTTGTTAAATGTAATAGAAAATTATCAGATGCTTTTCATGCATTGCTTTTAAGCCATTGACTTCTCTAGCAAGAATGTTGTTGTGATACATGCACTTTAAGGCTCACTAACATACTTTAGAGATTTTGAACACCTAAACTCAACAAAAAAATGGAATAAGCAAATAAACTAAAAAAAAAACTAAAAAAATCAAAACAAAGAAACAATAAAGTATATATTAAAAAAGTAAAAGTTTGAAACTATAAAAAAATTTAATTGGAAAATATTTTTATATATTTTTTAAACATAAAAGATTATCTTCAAATTTAGACATTATAAACGAATTTGACATTTTTAGCGAAAACTCAATTTATAGTTTTCCATTAGTATTGGGCTCTTAGTTTATGATTTGAAATGTTAAACATTATGCAGAGGTTAAACTATTAAAATCATTAAAAGTACAGGCTGTAAGTAGGCTAAAAGTACAGGCTGTAAGTATCTTAACTCAAGTATCTTAAAAAAAATTCATGGTATTAGATTTTGGCTTAAAAAATACCAATGATTTTTTTTTTTACAAAAATCAAAAGAAATTACAGTAATCAAAATTAAAACATAGTTAAAATGAATTTAAAATATTAAATTACTAAATTTATACACTAAATGTTTATTAACTTTATTGTATCTTTAAAATTTATTAATTCTGTCTAATAGCTACAGCTTTGAAACTTATCGAAAAGAAAATTTGAACAAATAATAATGTTGAGATCTTAACGGGTTATGCATAAGTCTTCGAACTTTTTTTAAAGAGTCGTAAAAAAATATTGTTAGTTAGATAAAAAAATGAAACTATATGGTAATAAAGAACATTCATTGTAGCATTTATTAATATATTTAACATATTGAATAGACGCCTCTATCAGCGATATCAAAGTTTTGTTTTAACACTCATCATTAGTCTTTGTAACAGATCTGGATCATTTTCTTTTATTTCATTTAATTTGCTCTTTATTCTTCGAACTAGTTGATATATATCAATTAGCTACGTGCTCTCCAACCTTCACTGTATACCTACTGACTTAAAATAGCCCAAAATGTTTCAATTGGTCTAGCTTGTGGAACATTTGGTGGATTAGTGTATTTTTGTACAAATTCTATGGAATTATCAATAAACCAATTTTCTGTTTTATTAGCATAATGAGCAGTTGCAAGATCTGGCTAAAACACAAAATTATTATCTTTATGATGTTCTCTAACTAATGGTATAAGTCTTTTCTTCATACATTCTTTCACATATATATTGGATGTTATTGAATTCTTTGATCTATGTATATAAGGTTCACAAAATCCATTTGAAGAAATGCAAATCCAAACCAATACCTTTTCTTCGAATTTTTTTTTCAACTTATATTTTACATTATCATGGGCTAATAATTTATTATTTCCATAATATATATCATTTCCAGGTATATTTGAGTTTGATAGGTTAAAATATTTTTCGTCATACGTTGATTATATCTTTTTCATGGAATACTTTATTAACTAATCTTCTCGATGATGTTGCTGCTCTCTGTTGTTGATCTTTTTTATACAAAGGTGCTTTTTGTTTTTTGTAACATTTAATATCTGTTTTGAAATTAATAGTTCTTGAAATTGTGCTTTGGTTCATCATAAAATATGAAGCTAAATACTTTTGACTAATACCAGTTGAATTATTTAGCATTTTAGTCAATCGTTTGACTTTTTCTTATCCATTTTTGGAGGACAACCTGATCTAACCAAATCATTATACACACCATACTTCTCATACCTTGCAAGAATACTAAATATAGTTGACTTTGATATTCCTTCATTTTTAAAATGTTTATATGTTGATTTCTTTTTATCACTTGAACGATTTTCATAGAACGTTACAATTCGTTTTGCGAGGGCTTCTTGATCAAACCTTGTCATTTTTTTTTTTGTATATCAGTCTAGATAAAAATGAAAAGTGATTTAAATACATTAATGTTTGATCTTCAAAATAAACAACAAGTTGAAGGTTGAAAAATTACTCTCCTTATTTAAATCAGTTTCAAAAAAAGTTCGAAGACTGTTGATTCGAAGACAGAAGAAGATGTTCGTTCGAAGACAAAAAAAGTTCGAACCCGTTACTTTGACAACTTATGCATAACCCGTTACTTTGACAACTTATGCATAACCCGTTACTTTGACAACTTATGCATAACCCGTTACTTTGACAACTTATGCATAACCCGTTAGTAAATAAAAAAGTGTTATGCAATAATAAAAGAATAACAAGATTTAAATTAAAAAAACTACAATAAAATAAAAAGTTCACAAAAAATTATGCATAACCTGTTACTTTAACAAATAATAATGTTGAGATCTTATTTTGTAAATACTTTGAATATTCAATATATAATATTAAAAGTTTGGTATTAATAGATTGCAATTGTAAAATAAAAAAATGATGTTGAACTAGGATCAATGTTGTCCAAGAACTAGTATTCAATGAAAGTGTTCTATTTATCCTAATCCCCTCAAATACTGTTAGAATACATTAAAATAATTAATTTATTAATTATTTTAATGTATTCTAACAGTATTTTGTTTTGTAAACATTTACATACCTTACATACACACCTTACATACCAAACATTTACATACATTTACATACATCGTTTTGTAAACATTTAAATACCTGTGACTTAGGGTATCTATTATTATTATTATTATTTATTTTTTTTTCAATTTTTAAAACAGGGAGGTTGATATAAAAAATAACAGTAGAACATTTTATAAGAATTCTAAATCTAAAAAAAATGTCCTGCTTGGGTGGTCCGTGTTGCTTTTTAAATCTTAGAAATTGTTATTTGTTAGTTATAAATAAATTAGAATAAAAAGTTTTTATAAATAAATTTAAATAACATTTATAATTAAATACATGAGTTGTTTATAACAAGTTATTTGATTTACTTTAAGTTTTAGATTGATCAATAATATGCTATAAATACTTCTATTCTAAAAATAATAAAATAAGCAATAATTTCTTATTTCTCCTAAACTCTAAAGTTCATAAGCTTTTTAGAATCTTTTCAAAATCCCCATAAAATCTTTCACAAAAAATAACTTCTTTTTATAAAATTTGATAAAAACAGCAAAAAACAAAACTCTATGGTCACCTGTAGCGTAGCGACAAAAAATTGGCCACCCCGCAAAAATTTAATCCGGGCCCCTAAATTACTTCTTTTCTATTCCCTTCCCCCCCCCCCCACCTTGCCTTTACTTTCCTTCTAGACAAATAAGTTATACATGAAAATAAAAAACTGTATTCTAAAACACAAACTAATGATATATTATCATTAATGACAGAAAGTTTTGTATGTATAGTATGTAGAAGTTCTAACGAAATTGTTTTTTTCGCACCTTCATAGCTGCAAATTGGTTTATCACATCTTTTAAATCTAATTTAGCTGCTTCTTCTGCTTCAATAGCTAATAAACTTAACGCAGACAAACGGTTTTGTGCCATCGTTGTCCTTAAATGCGTTTCGATTCTTTTTAACGTGCTGAAAGATCTTTCTGCAGTTGCCACGCTAATGGGTAATGTCAAATATAGCGTAAGTGCTCCGATTATTTCAGTGAAAGAGCAACTCATATCACAATATATTATTGTTATTAATTTGAGCATATCCAAAATACTGTCCACATCTTTAAGCTCCATTTTGAAAGTTTTTTAAAACAAAACCATTTGATTTGGAAAGGCATCAGATATATCTATCGGATATTTACTTTGCAAATTTGTTGCATGTGTAAATATTTTGTCAGAATCTAATAATATTATATTTTTGGGATTTAAAAATGAAAAATAGCTATTTACTATTTTCAGGGAAGTAAAACGAGAATCTATCTGATTTGTAACAATATCTATAACTGTGTTAAATACATCAACTTTAAATTGATGTTCAGCCGTTTCAAAACAAAAATTTACACTACCGTCATCAAACAGTTTTTTTGTTTGTTTTATTTGTGATTGTTTAAAAGTTGGAACTATATTCCACTTTATAGCAAGAGTTTTTGCTTTTGCAAGAATATCATCAAAATTATTGCGCAGTGATTTTATTTCTTTTATTCCAGTTTCTAATAATGAACAAACTTTATCCAAATCCATATTTTTAGATTGTAATAATTTTGAAACGATATTTAATGGTGCTAATATTTCAATAATTAACACCAAAATGCAAAGAAAATCTAAACAATCCATTTTCTTTCTTAAACCGGTCGCTTGTGCTATTTCTGCTTTTTTATTGCTTTCCAATATAATTTTAGATAAAGCTTTCATTACGTCTACATATCTTTGTTTTATGGCTATACAAGATGATAAACGAGACGCCCAGCATGTAGGATTTAATTTTTTTAACGTTACTTCTGATTTTCCTGTTATTTTTGATAATATGTCCCACCTATTTATGCTAATACCAAAAAATGTATATATTTCTTGTATACTAGAAAAGCAGTTGCTAATATCTGGTACCCCATTCATAGCATCATTTATTACTTAATTTAAATTGTGGGCCGCGCAATGAATAAATATTGCGTTTTTTTTCAATTTCTTTTATTCTTGTTTGTACTCCAGAGTAAATTCATGCTTGCCCCATCATAACCTTGTCCCCTACATTTTTTCAAATCAAGACCAAATGATTTTAGTATATTAATAATTTGATTTGATTTAGCACTTGCCGATTGATTGTTAACTTTAAAAAACCCTAAAAATTTTTCTTCAATTTTTATTAGGAGAGGAGATCCATTTATGTTATAACAAATTTTAACAAATCGAAAGGAAATACTAAGTTGGTCTGCTTTTGATAAATCTTGAGTAGTATCGACAATCATTGAAAAAAAGAAGCTAAATTGATATCATTGATAATTTTTCTTTGTAAATTTTTTGACAAAAGACAAATAATTTCATTTTGAATTTAAGGCGATAAGTAATTAACATGGCCACAAGGCAAAGATATCACTTCTTTCAAAACAATTTCATATTCCGCTAATAGTTGAACATCTGATAAATTACCATTATAAAATTTCATGTGAACCATTTTGCCTTCGAAAAGAACTACAATTTTTAGCTAATTTTAATGTTATTTTAGTAAGTCTTTCTAAAACTTTTTCCCAAAATGTTTGTTCCTTTTGAATATTATCGAGTAACATAGTATCTATTGTTTTTTCCTCCTTCCATTGTTTCAAAATAAAACAAGTATTTATGTGAACCTCAGAAATTTCATGTTTCTTTAATTTTTTTGAAAGTCCTTGCCAGTCATTTATACCTTGTATCCAACCACTATTTTTTTTCTCGCTTGAAAATAACCAACAAGGTTGACAGTAAACTAAGTTTTTGTTTGGTGAGTAGCATAACCAAGTATTTTCAACAGATATTCCTGATTTTGTAACTTTTTTATAGTAATTTATTGAGAAAGAACGATTTCTATCATCTTTAGGAAAAGGTCCTTCAGGACGACAAGGACCGACAGATAAAATGAATTGTTTTTCTTCTACCGTTATAACATCATTAAAATTTGCAAAATCAGAGGGGTATTGCTCACAAATAATTTCAGATAAATCACATATGTTTTTAACTTCTGCTTTCTTTAGCGGTACTTTAGCTATATTTGACATACTTGATATTTCTATTTCAGAATACTTTTCGGTTGTATTGGCACTTCGTATCACTTTCGGTCGTATTGGCACTTTCATCTAGCATTCTATTAATATTTTCCAATTGTACTGTGTTTGAAGTTGAAGCAAAAAAAGATGTCAGTCTTGGTATTTTTAGCAGCTGTTTGCAAAACTTTCATTAGCTATTTCTTTATTTTTTCTCTTTCTGAAACCACTTATTAAACTTTTTTCCTCTTCTTTTTTCTTGTTATTCATTTTCACAGTTGTCTTTTAATAAACAAAATAATTAAGTTTTTTTTGTAAATAAATAAACATTAAAATAATAATAAAATCAAAACACCTAAATTACAAAACACAAATAAAAAATAGAAACTAAATTCAAATACAAGACAAACAGTTTACTATTTATCAAGTTATTAATTTGAAGCTATTTTAAAAACTATTTTAAAAACTTTCGTAGCGCCATTTAAAGCCGGTTGAGGTTGCATCAAGTCATTTAACGGCTTGAATGATTAATTATTTCGTGTTTTATATCTTATTTTATACTTTCTTACTGTTTTATTGCTGTTTTTTGTAATATTATTTTCTTCTTTTTTATGAAACATTTTAATTTATTTTTTTATTCTCTTATTTCGTTTTACTTTAATTTACGTAATTAAGTTTGGTTTTTTTGTTTTTGTTTAAAAAAAAAAGGCGTTCACTTAGGAAACTATTGCAGTTTTTAAAAAGCGAGTAAATTATTGTTTTTTTAAATCGCTTAATTATTTAAGTAGCTTAATTAATGTATTTTGCGTTAAGTTGTAACGACTTCATAATTGCGACTTTGAAAATTGTATTTTATTTTATAAATAATAGTAGTTTATTTTTATATTCGTAGATATAATAAAATAAAAAGTGATAAATAAATAAAATAAAAATAAAACCCTGCGGGCCCTTCGCTACGCTACTGATGGTCACATTCATGTCAAAAACAACCTTTACAAAAACTCACTTTCCGTGGTCATATTTGCAATAATTTTTAAATCAAATGTGAAAAATCAATATAAAAACTATTGAATTTATCAAAAATATTAATTTAATCAACACAAAAAATTTTTTTTTCAAATCAGTTATTAAAAACAAAGCAACAATACTCAAATGTATTTTTTTCCAGTTACTTTCAAATTGTACATGTTTTCAATTTTCTCAAGATTCTTAAAACTAAATGCTGAAAGACTTTTGGAACTTTATATTCCTAATAATTTTTAACAACAGGTGTTGTCTGATTGCGTTGGAGCAAAACCCATTTTCATTAAAAGGATCTTCAACAAGAGCAGATTTTGAAAGTGGCGTAGAAATGGGAATGGGTACATTTAATTTGGTAATGTGTTGATCTGCTTGTTTCATAAAACTATTTGAATAATGTATTAATGGCTGATTTTTTAAACCTGATCACTATTGATTTTAAGTTAATGCTTTTACAAAACTGTAAACAGTATATAATTAAGATATTATGTAATAATATTATTATTTTTAGCTTCTGTCTTTACTACCTCCTCGTGTCTTAAAATTGCTTGAATGGGTTGGTTTTTCAGGAGATAAGGTGAAAAGCTTTTCTATTATATATTTTAGTTAATTTTTTAAACTGTTATTTATTTATTATTATTTGAATTATTATAATTAATAGGATAAAATATACATTCAAAATAAAGCAGAAGATTTTCCTACATTCTTTTTTTTGAAACAGTCTTTTATTTATATAACAGACTTGCAGCATTTTGTTTTGGTTTTTCACAATTTCACACGTTCAGACATAACTTGGATAATTTTCAGATTTAATTCTTTTTCAATTAAAAAAATTCAAAAAGGCCACCTCACTGTCTTTCTTGTTTTTAAATTTTTTCTTGTTTGACATTATAAGCATTTTTTTTTTGTTAAATAAATTTTTTTAAATTTCCTCCACTATAAAAATATTTTACATTTTAACTTTAATAAAGTTTTTTTTACACATTAAAAATACAGACATTTTAATTTTAATAAATTTTTTTTTTTATACATTAAAAATTTAGAGATTTTAATTTTATTATGTGAAGGATGTAACAAATGATTTATTCACATGAAAAATCAAATATTCAAAAAATGTCAAATATAAAATCTGAAAATAAAATTACCAGGCAGTATTTATAAAGATACATATTGCCTAGCAATTCCAGCGATGTGGTCTTTGTTGTTTGTGTGTTTGAAAATTAGGAATAGCTAACATAAAGTTTTCTTCATTAAACTTAATTTCATTGAACTAAAATTTTACCAAGTTTTACAGCAAAGTAATCGTAATGTACTAAAAAAAAAGGAATTAAGTAATATAAAATATAATAATGAAATAAGAAAATATCTAATACTAATCTACTGAATTTTATACTTTAAAAAAAAATAATTACTATTTAGGAACAGGGTCTTTTTCTTCTCGATAAAGGCTGTAATTCAAAAGGTTTAAGGGATGCAATGTGCGGTATCACCCTTCTTGGTTTTCATCTTGTTGTATCTCCTTTGTTAGGTATTTTTTTTATTTATATATATCAATGAATGTTAGAATAAGAACATATAGAACATCACCTGTAAAGTTACATGTAGTATATACTGATAATTAGGGTTTGATAAGTGACTGGTGGTTCAAGTCGGGGCAGTTTAATTCTAATCTTAATTTAATTTTTTAATTTTTTGGGCAGTATTTAAGTATGATAATGATCTGCAGGGATCTTTTTCTGGATATTTCCGGAATTCTGGTTATTTTTCCGGATATCCAAAACATTTTCAATACATGCAAGTTCAGGTATATATTTTTGTAATATATATTTTTCCAAGCTTTTTCACTCATCGCTCGGAAAAATTATGAAAATGTCAAAAAAAGTTAGAAGCAACTTAATTAAAAGCGAAATTAAAAAGAAAATAAGGTAAAACAAATGTCGGATTTTTTCTGAATAATTTATTTAAACCATTTTCCAAATTTTTAAAATATGACTAGGATGATCTATGGATCTGTTACAACAGGTGGACATGAAACTTTGTTGGTTACACTATGAAATTCTGAGGCTGAGGCTTTAGAGCATACAAAGTTTGGGTTTGAGCATGTAATATTAATTTAAAAAGAATATAATTTTTCATAATAATATATATTATTACCAAAAAAAGTTATTTCTAATTTTTTTCTGGATTAAAGTTGCAAAACTTAAAAATGTAATAGTACTATGGAGAATTAAATATGCGGTAGCTAATGTAATTGAATTTTTTTGCTGACCTAAATCCATATCATTTTTTTGCACAGACTAGAAAAACACAAAGAATAATAAAAAAAACATGTAGCTGCCATAACCCAAACCCTCAGTCAATTTAGAATTATATATTTATTTTTTTAAAAGCCATATAATTATTAATCGTGAGTTTAGACCAACTCAATATTCCATAAAAAATATGATTACAAGTTAGAGTTTAGGCTTTTAAGTACATAGTTGTAAAACTCATTATTAGCTGTAAGGCTAATATGCAGGGATAGATAAGGCAAGACACAATTAGAAGACAAAAGGTGTTAACTTAAGAAAATAATTAGTCTTTAAAATTATAAATAATTTTTATAAAAATAAATTTTTAAGGTATTGGTGACAGTGACATTAGCTATAGTTCAAAACACCTTTCAAGATACATGGAAACTTACCCAAATGTGAGTAGAATAAATATTCATGTTTAAATGTTCATTTTTATAATTTTTGGTTTTAAAACATGTGAAGCTAGTTTTAAAGCTGAATAATTTAGTGTTGTTTTACTATATAGGACAAATAAAGAAACACACAAACTTATTCCCATATACACAAACACTGTCACACACACATTCACAAAAAATTTGATTACTTATAATTATCATGAAATATAATTATTTTTAATTATTATAATTTAGAATTATTTATATTAATTATAACCGGGGCGAATTAGGCACATTTGAAATATAATATTCATTAGAAAAAAAATTGTTATTTTTAGTTTTATTACATAAAAAATTACATTTTAAGAAAAAAAATGAAAAAATGCATTTTTTATGTTTTTTTATCATAATTTTGATAAATAAACTTTAAATAAGAAATTTTTATTTAATTTTGCTTCATTTGAGTACCAGGTTGACATATTTTTGAAAAACTTTTTTTTTTAAGTATTAGTGACCCATTAACTATTCTTAAAGTTACTTAAAATATTTTTTTGAATAAAAAATATTTTAAGAGGGTCTTGAAGGACCCCTTAAAATACTTTTTATTTAAAAAAATTTTAAACCTAATGTTTTTGTATTAGATAGAACACATTTAGGGGGTGGGAGCAGATTATTTTCAAAAATGTTATTTTTTGGGACACTCTAATATATATATATATATATATATATATATATATATATATATATATATATATATATATATATATATATATATATATATATATATATATATATATATATATATATATATATATATATATATAAATATATATGTTAGGGCGGTCCTTAAAATAACTTTTTTTTAAAATGTCTGTTCAACCGTTCAAAATGTGTTTTATGTAAATAATATTAGAATATAAAATAATATTAGAATTATAAAATTTTCAAAAAAAAAAATATTAATGGGGTAGCTCAAGACCCTTAAACGTCAAAAGTGTGATATTAAATGTTTATATAAATAAAATAATACATAACATTGAAATTTTTTGAGATGAAAAAAGTAAATATTGTTTTGTTTAAGAAAAAAACACTAAAATATACACATTACAAATTGCTAAAAATGCATTAAAGTAAGAGTCGTCTTAACCGTTATATTTTCTAACTTATTAAATATATGCTTTTAAATTTTAATTCTTTAGTTTCTAAGAAATATTTGTTTGTTTAACATAGTCTAACCTATTTTATAAACATATAAACTTTATTTATTAAACAATGCTACTATATGGTATGTTTTGTAAAGAAATTTATAAAAAGGAAATTTAAGTAGACACAATTTTGATGCTTTATTGATCAACTTATTAAACTTTTTGATACTTAAACTCTCGACTTAAACGACTTGCATATATATATATATATATATATATATATATATATATATATATATATATATATATATATATATATATATATATATATATATATATATATATATATATATATTAAGCCACTGCCTAAACATACTTTTTTTTCTAAATACATTGGTTCACTTTGGGTTTAATGTGAGCCATAATTCCAGGCTTAAATTCCAAAAAAGTTAGACAGTTTTGAGTTAAAATAATTTTGGGAAATCATTTTGAAGTTTTCAATTATTTGTGTTTTTTCTCAAATATTCAAGTGGTAATTTTCTAGAAATACTAATTTACCAACCAATTTTCAAGTCTTCAAGGCAATTATTTACATAAATCACTTTGGCGGTTTTTAATTGTAATTAGAGTCAGGGTTGTAAATACACGTCAGGGTTGTTATACACTCTTAAAAAACAGTTGTATAACAACCTTCTCCCCTAAACAAATCATTTTCTTTAAGCCAGTCATCAAAAATGGACCTTCATTAGAAAATGTGAAAGATCAAAGACTTTTTTTTAAGTTGGTAAATAACATTACTACACACCCCTATCAATAACTGTTCGCACCTGCTCTGGTTGGAGCTTTTTACTATACGCAGGGTCATATATTTTTAACACCGCAACTTTAACAGTTTTTGATTTAAAACTTATCCTTTTGCTAAGGAATTTTTTGGAATTTTTTTTTTTTAAAGTTCCAACACTTCTTATTTAATTTTTTTTAACTTTTTTTTATATCAAAAGCCTTTATAAGGCAAGTAACACCAAGTTGTATGTTTTTAATACAATTGATGAGTATGTCTTTTCATAAAAGGGTTCATTAAAATCACATTTATATACATCTCAATTTTTTTTCAATTAAGTCCTCCAACCTCAATTAAGTCTGCCCAAACGTCAGCTTTGAAGTTCAAGGGCATAACTGTCTCAGCTTTGATTTCAGGCTTCAAATCTGGATCAATATTCCTGAATAACCTAATCTGCAGAATTAGATTAAGAGCACGATCTCTTACAAATTTTTCATCATCTAGTAGTATAGCATAAAGAAAGTTTTCTTGACTGCAGCAGTAGGAGTTACCCTGAAGATTTTTCAATACAATCTTTTGAATTCTGCTATCCCGTTTACTGACTAACTGTATTGTTTTATGAAGAAGCCTTGGTACATCTTTGTAATGCTGTGAACTTTTTGCAGCAAACCACATAAGACAGTAAACCTGGATCATGTACTTTGTGATGCAGTTTAAATCTCAGTTCTTCCATAAACCATCATAATTCTTAAAGCAAGAGTAAGCCACCGTGCATGGCAAATTGGGTTGGGTTTCTTGTTAGCATATTTTGTAGAAATGAAACCATTAGCTATTCCAATACAAGACTCATAAAGTTTACCCTGTCCTCTAGTCAAATCATAAACAATCTCAGTATTCACATACGACTTTAACTCAGAATCTATTTGAACAAATTGAAATAAAGTTTGTTCATGCATAAGCATGTTAGATGCTTGTTCACCAATAGGGCTTTTACACTTTTTAAGGTCATTGGTTTTTCCATATATTTCAGATATAACATAGCAAACTGGTAGTTTACGCTGGTGAAGCAAACAACCTACTAAATGTATGCTATGTTTCAAATGCTTTTCTAATTGGACAACTAAATCATTATCTACACCAGTGTTACAACCTGTATTGTCAAGAGCAATTGCTTTTAAACTTTCAGCACTACTATATTCAGTTAGGACATTTAATGTAGCTGAAGCCATTGTACTTCCTTTATCATTTTTTATCTTGACAGTGCTTAAATGTAATTTAGTTAGCCACTTGTGCTTTTTCACAAAAAATCTTATATTCAGTTATTATCTGTGATTTTTTATTGTTTGTCTCTATTCCATAGTTGCTATTGCAACTGTAACAGCATCATATCTTTTTGCAACTTCAGCAAAATTAGTCAAGTCTGTGTAGTTTCTTTCAATAACTATTAGTCACTTTCAGCTTTATCAATATTTGAGGATTCAACACTAAAAATATCATATGAACCAACTTCTGATGTTGTTTGATGATTTCTCTGTCTAAATTGCTTTTCAGTGCCTTCTTTTTTCTCTTTAATATACTTTTTTGCAGCCCTTCTTGTCTAACCCTTCTTACCAGGAACCTAAAACAAGGTATTTTTATTTAAAGTGACAAGTTAATGAAATATAAAGCCCTGGTAAGATAATAAAAACCCCGTGCATTACCTTTCTATTTTCCTCACAAAGACAAGCTATGTGTTTCATTGTGCATCCACTTTTGAATGTACAATGAAACATCCAATTCGCCTAAATGTTTATTATTTTAGTATTAAATCAAAATCATATATATATATATATATATATATATATATATATATATATATATATATATATATATATATATATATATATATATATATATATATATATATATATATATATATATATATATATATATATATATATATATATACAGTATTGGACAAAACATTTGCAACCAACATCAAACAATGCTAAAAAGTGTTCCTAATTTTACATGTCTTAAAAACAAAACGAACTGTATTACCACAGCAAACATTTTATGAGTCTGGAGTTATAGCATGCCATGACATAAGCAATCAGCTGACAGGTGACAGCACACTGGCAGAATTTCGTTGACAAGTGCCATTTTGCAGCGGACAAAACAAGTGCAACTTTTTTGGTTTGTTTCATTTTCTTAAGTCTTGTCCGTGTCAACGTCACGGAAGTTTTTTAATAATTAAAGGAAGTATCCAGAAGCATGCAGAAGCTTCCAGAAGTTTCCAGAAGAAGCATCTAGAAGCATCCAGAAGTATCCAGAAACATTCAGAAGCATCCAGACGCATCCAGAAGCATCCAAAAGAAGCATCTAGAATCTTCCAGAACAGGTTCACACAGGTTCATTTTACTATATAAGAAACATATAAACTGACATATAATTCAGTCAGTATATGGATGTCAATCAGTCAGTATTATCAAGACAGTTTATTGAAGTGAGTTTTATCAAAGTGTTTTATCGAAAAACATCAATACAAGAAGTGAAATACAACAAGTGTTTTATTACATCAATACAGTCCACATCCAACCAAGACATTGTGTTCCATAGAGCATTATTGTATCATCACAAGGTAAATGTAACACGGTAAGCCTTGAGAACTATTTGATTTTTTTGTGATTATTTATTTTTATTATTTTTATAACTTCAAGTGCAAAAATGGCTCCTGAAAGTCTTGGATTGGAACTAAGAAAAAAAATTGTTGGTGATTGCGTAAGTGGAATGTCATGAAAAAGTATTTGTGATAAATATCACGTGAAAAAATGGGCCGTATCAAGACTATGTTCCAAATATCGTTCTATGGGGAAGTTGGCAGCAGATAACAAAGGTGGAAGACCGCGTTCCACTACTTCTAGAGAGGATTCTATGTCAGATCGATAAAGAAGGATTCCTGGATATCATCAGTCGAGATACAAAAACAATTAGAGCTGCCTATATCGGACTGAAAAATCAGATAATGCGCTGTTGACGCTGGATTGTTTTCTCGATGCCCTGCAAAATAACCGCTGATTTCACTAAAGAGCCAGAAGAAAAGACTCCTGTTTGCT